TGAAACGCATTTTAATATTTACTAAGTTTTGTTAATATTTATTTTTAGTGAAAGTTTAGTGGATTTTTAAATTAATATTTTTTTTGATTGTTTAACCTCAACCTATTCATATTATTAATATTCTCTCTCTCTAATCAAGATAAGCAATGATTACTATTTTATATATTTTTAGAACAAAAGAAAATAAAAAAATACAAAAAATAGATAAAATAGATAAATAACTTCTTTGAAATGAAAGACATGTTGACATGGACAAACCAATTTTAATATATATATATATATATATATATATATATATATAGATAGATAGATTAATTTATTTAATATATTATACATTTATATATTGAAATCAGTTTTGGGGCTGGGTGGAACCGGTTTCAACACGACAAGAATCAGGACAATATATCATTGTAATTATTTTTTATGGCACTCTTATAATTATTAAAAAACTCGATGCAACAAATGATGGCACTCTTGTAATTACATGAAAACTCAATGCCATATGCACAACTAAAAAAGAGGCAATCATTGTAGGTGACAAACAGTGGCATTCTTGTAATTAGTTAAGAATTCAATGTGACAAATAATGATACTCTTATAATTAGCAACTGTCATGAGCATTCACATTCACCATTGGTGCCGAAATATCAAAATATTTCACAAAGTCTCATAAAATCCTCGTACACTAAGATTCCATTTGAAGCAAGATGGGTGCTCTGTCCGTAACCATTTTGCTTTTAGTTTCTATATGGTGTGTAATGAAACTTTAAGTTATAATAAGGTTTACATAGAGTAAATATAATTGAATATTATATCTTATTATATATTAAATATGTTATATATACATGATAAATGGCACTTTGAATTTTATTGGAATATGCAAAATTTTAGATAACTTCATCACTATTTTGCTCAAACAAAGCATCAAAACTTCACTGATCAAGAACCTTAGTTCCTACAAAACAAAACCCAAGCCAATTTTTTGGAGATATGGAACAAATTGTATCGGAATCTAGATAAATTGTTCTCCCTTATATTATTTATTCCATATTATTAATGACAATCCTCTTTAGTGTTCATTCTATTCATTTCCTTAGGGGTGATCATGGGCTGAACTTGGCTATGTGCCTTTGATTTTAAATAGTATAATATATTATATGAATCATTTTACAATATTTATATATGATACAAAAACATAACATAAAAAATGGGGACAGGATCAGCTGCCAACGGAGTGTGCCCCACAGCCCATCACATTCGTACATTGGGAATACCTTCCCATGACAAGCACGAGAGATGTTCCCCAATGCATGAAGAGATGGGTTGTGAAACACCTATGGGACACGCTCTGTGGGCAGCTGATCTGATCACACCAAAATTATGTAAAAAGTGAATACATAAAATAATGGAATAGATCAAATCCCATATGGATGTAAGTAGAATTGCCACAATATATAGTTGAAGAAGCCCCTATATTTTTTCTAGGATTGAGTCTCACTTGCACAASGTTGCCAGCTTCATGGGTATGGGGAGGGCTGCCCCCTTTCTGTGGCTCATTTACCTACCCCCAAAAAAGAACACGCATGGATATGAATATACCAAAATATTAATTAAATAAGCTTTCATAGTTATTAGTATATATTGAACTTTTATCAAATTGTAACGAGGTAAAACTAAATTTGATCCAATTAATAATTGAATATACCACTTAAAATCAACATTTTATTAAAATTATGTTCTGTCATCATCAAATGCATTGAAAAGCTTACTTGAGTTGTTTATGACATTGTGTAGCTAAATGAGAGAATTTCTTTTGTAAAGACCATATTATAAACCAAATAAAATATTAAAGTATTTATAAAAATGCATGATAACTAAAAATCATTTGGTTGACCACTATTTATGGTAGCTCAATAACTAATTAATTTGTAAAATTACTGATAATTTCAATAGTTTCTAAGGGACAACTATAATTGTTATTACTATGTAACTATCATATTTGAAATTATTGTAATTACTATTATTATTTAATAACACCTATTATTATTCAATAATTATTGTTATTATTACTGACTTTTTCATAATTACCCTTAATGAAAATAGATAAAGAGAACAAATTGAGAATAACATAATGATAATTTTAGTTTTAAAATTAGTGTTATTATTATTTTATTATCAATAATTGTAATTTTTAATAAGAAAATTACTGGATTTACCATAATTATAAAATTACAAAACTATTGAGTAAAAAATAGTAAATAATAATGGTTTTGAATAACAAAATTTAAATATTTTTCAGTAATTTCTAATAATAATAATCGTTGGAATTAGCATAATTATAAATTATCAGATTATTGGATAACAAAATAATGGTTTTCTTATGGCATTTTTAGGGTGTTAGTAAGCATTTTCAATTTCTTAACAATTTCTGTGAATTTTTGTTCTATTTTAGGAGGCATAGGAGGATGGTGTTTTGTTCAGAACACAAGTTAGATATCATGACTGAGGATTATGATATGTTGATTCAATGACAGACTTCAAGTTGTTGACACACGCATGGTAGAACAAAAAGATGCTCTAGCAATTCTTCAATTTCAAGACAATTTAGCTCAAAGGTCCTAAGAATAGATCCGGTTGATGGTAACGCCTCTTTTACTTGTTCTCTGCACCAATGTTTATTGATTTTAGTAGTTGATGAGCTTTAAAGTTGATTGTATTGGGTGATTGTTTTCTATTAACATCCATTGGGTTATTTATATCTTCAATCATATTTTTTTCGTCTAACCATGTAAAGCATGGCAGATTATGAGTAGTTTATCATATTGAGTAAACCTTCACAACTTCAATCTCAATTGTTTGGTTCAATTTAGCTTGGTCCCCACCCTAATGATTAGCTTATAATCTTAATTGTTTGATTATACGCTAAAGTTGGGTTTATAAATCGATGGAGAATTAAGTCATTATTATTTTTGTGTATTAATTTTCATACTTGAAATTTGAAATTCACTTTATTATAATTCAAATATATTATTTTAGCAATAATAAACATACATGTGCACCTAGGGGTGGCCACGAGCCGAGCTTCTCACAAGCTATTCAATCCATTTGAATTGGACCTATAATTTATCAGATTGGATTAAGATAATACCCTGATTTGAATCCGATCTGATTCATTTGCATCTCTATAAAAAGGGAAAGTGTAATCAAGCTTTTTGACGTAACATTGTTATTATCCTCTTTTTATTGTAGATTATAGACATTGACAAGCATTACCCCTAAAAGCTAAGGGGCCATACAAACCATCTATTATCTTTTTCAAGTTTTCGCATTTGGGTTTTAGTGTTTCAAGGTGCATAGGCACTAGTTTTGATACTATCTAAGTTATTTGTTATGAAGCTATGTACAAATTACAAGAAGTTATTTTTTGTTTTATCAAACAAAAAACAAAAGATGTATGTCATAAATTCCCATTCAAATTTTCATTTGTTTTTGGCTAATGAAAATTTTATATGGTTAGATACTTAGATTACTTATTCTATTATTGACTTAATATTGGCTCTGATTTTCCCAAATGAAATAATTTATATGGTTGATCACCTTTATTTTCCCCTTGATTGGAACTTGTTGATAATAATATTATTCGTATAAATTCTTATTTGTTATATGTTATTTTTTTATATGATTATACTTTTATCTATTTAATATTACATCTATTTTTATATTTCTAAATATATTATTATTTTTTCTTTGCATTAGTGAGATATTTAAAATTACTTTTACTTTTATAATTTCTTTTTTAATGGTTGTTTCTCTTAGAAAATTGATGTTGTTAAGGGGTTTGCTAATTTTGTGATATATATATATATATTATTTTCAAAAGGGTGAGATTTATCTATTTATCTTAGATTTTTTATCAATTATGAGATATATTTATTTCTCTTAAAATGTTTTGAGTGAAAATATTTTGATCTCAATTTTTTATTTAATTACTCAAATGTTATGATAATATTTGGCCCCCACTAATCAAACATCCCGAATCTGCCACTCGGTGTGGTTGTTGCCAAGATAAGTACTTATTCAAATAATCACTTATTTTTAAGCACTCCCAAATTCAATATTAAACACTTAAAAGATGAATGGGCACCACATAGGATATTTGAAGTTTGAACTAGAGATGCATCCCCAACTACTCAAATACAACGCCGTCTTGTTTTACGCCTCCCCCAAAACCCAATGCAAAATTTGAGGTCACTATTTGAAGTTAAATTCGCCCAACCAAACGTATACGTTTAAGTCAGACTGCCAACGTCGGGTTTACATCTAAATAAATTGACAAAACATAAATGTAGCGACAAAATACCAAGTACAAGAACCTATAAAAGCATCCACATTTCCATTTTCTCCCAACTCAAAGATAGAAATGCAGCAACATAATAAAACCTACGGAAGAAGAAAGTGACATCATTGTCAGTGGAAGATTCAAATGTACATAGTTAAAATATGAAGTTTTAAAATCTCTTGCACAATTCCGTTGTAGTCTAGTTGGTTAGGATACTCGGCTCTCACCCGAGAGACCCGGGTTCGAGTCCCGGCAACGGAATTTATTTATCTTTTGCCCGACATTAAAATCATCTCAAGATTCTCAACTCAAATCATTTTCCGGCCAAATCTCCTCCGCCCTAAACCCGCACAAACTGCCTTCAATTGCACTTGGGAATCAGACACGAGTTGGGGTCAATCAGAATTCAGACATGGTAGTGAACAGTTTTAACTTTCAAGTTACTTCTTAATATCTTATAGCTGGGAGGTTACAAAAACCGTTTAGTATCTAGAACAATTTTCACCTGCTTCAAGGGTTGGCATTCTACATCCAGTAGAATAAAAGGTCAGTCGCATTAATTACAGTTTTAGATTATCCGTTATTGTTACAATAAAAGCCAGCATTTAGGTCTTGTGCAATAAACAGAGATAAAACAAGCTTATCATGAAAACAAAATACATGCTGAACTCTGAAAGTAATACCAAAGAAACCCTGCATTACAACATTTAATTTAACTTGTACAATGGAAAAAAGCCTAGATGTGCTTTTCGTTTGTTCCAGGGCTAAAAGTTAGGCGGTGAGCTTCTCTAGAAGCAAACCAGATATCTTCACTATTTGCCAATCAACCCAATTACAAGGCTTCTACATTCTAATTTATAACAAAAAACAAAAGATGAAGCTGGAGGTCTGAAGAAACAGATTACACATGGCCGGTTGTCGACCAGTTAAACAAGTTGATTCTAAAACAGTCTATAGCAAGTCAATGGATTGTAATTTACAGGCAGCGATCGATTCCAAAAGCCATGTATGACCAATGACTTTAGCACCAATTTCAGCAGCCAAATTTTCTGCTTCCCTGCACCTTTTGTCGATAACAGAAAACTCGCTTAAATTGCAAGTCTGTGGAGGATCAAGGCTGTACACAACCAAGGTTATTGGAGTTGCAAGTGCATCACTACCTTGCGAGACTGAGCTGACCTTGTCCTCCAGGAGAGTACCCCCTGCAGCCTTCACCAAATCCTCCAAGTATCCCTTGTAAGAGGGAACAAAATCACCACTGAAACAGAACTTTAGCCCATGAAAGAGCTTTGGGGCCTGCACAAGAAATACAAATATTATTAATCCTTGATAGCTATGTCCTGTGCCTGCATTATGTACTTATTCATGTCTGTGTTGTATTTGTGCATGCATGTATGCATGTGTGAGGGAGTATACATTATCCACGACTCTGAGCCTGCCATTTTTGGGGCCATCACAACAGCCATGAATATCCCGGTTCACTTCGTAAGGCTCTTCATCTACAAGATCCATAGCTTCCATGCATGCTTTTATCCCTGCCACCAGGATCATGAATGACATTAGCATAAAAGAAAAAATACCAACTTATACGATGAAAGAGAAATGAAAAGAAAGAGAAGAAAAAGACATAATTAAACCTTAATACACTAGTAACAATAATGCATTATGACAAGCAAATTGAGGCTTACAATCAATATTTAGTATCCATCTCCCATTTAGGATTGCCATTAGTACTTTTAGTGTCCTGCTGCAAGCACCTATCTCATCTGTGGCTGCAATGACATGAGTGACATTTGGTATCCAAATCTTAGAAACAGTTGCACCAGTAATTCTTGCAAACTTGTTCAAGAGATTCTGCAAAATAGTAAACAGACAAATTGGTTCAGGTTATGAGAAATACACCATCACAAGACAGTTCTGCACCAAACCATAAACCAAGGGCTTAAACCAACTTACCTTCTCTCCAACAGAAAGAGCAGAACCACATAGAACCAGCCTTTTACACGTATCAGCTGAAGTGACCCAGGATCTGTTAGCTTGATTACTATCCCTGGCAATATATGGTAAATAATGCAAATATCAGATGATACATCTAAGAAATGAAAAACCAAAAAGGGCTTCAAACACATACAATTTGGGTACAAGATTCAGATTTTATGGAGAATAGAAGCGAATATACCAAAGCCTCCATGCAATTATGAGCTAAGAAATGGACATTTTTCTATTTATAACTAATAGAAGCAAATATACCTCAATTGTAGATATTCAATGTTATTTTAACAAAAAACATACATACACCAGTTTGGCAATAACAAAAACAAAAGGACGTGGTCCATGCACATGTTTATATCATCATCCACATAGACTCTCTATCCTAGGGATGATGTATCGACAGAATGAAGAGAAGAGAGAGCAGTTGTATACTATCTCTGAAGGGCCACATCTTTCTGACAAAACAAGGATTAGATCTTCATCCTGCTTTTTTTTTTATCAGAAACGGTAACAGCATTGCCCAGTACAAACTCTCCCTTAGAGTCCCTTGTTTTGCTATGGTATCATCTAAATCATTAGCCGATCTCCTTACCCACTTAAAACAAACACCCACCTCCCTTATTAAGCTAAAAATTTCCCTTATCAGCTGTCTATGTTGCTAAGGTATCTTCATCCCGTTTCTCTTTTTTAGTATTTGCTATTTTCAAACAAGGGGAGGGAGGTAGCATATAAGGAGTTATAGGGAAAGGTTGGCTCTATAACAATCTTTCGAGAAACTCTTGAAACAAGGAGGAAGCAATGTTTTAGAAGTGAAAGCCACAAAAAGCAGAGGCCTTTTAGCACCTGAGGCACAAGATGCAAGACAAAGTATGCACCCAAATGATGCAAGCACGACATTTCAAAATAAATAAATAAATAAATAAAAGAACTAATACATATAATATGAAAACCTGAAATTTAAAAGACGTTAAATGGTTTTAAAAAGGTTATTAGGCCAAATCAAAATACAAAAGCATAAAAAAGAAATTCAAAGTGAAAGTTCAAGTAAACAAGGAAGTAAACATAGACAATACCAAAGTGCTTCAAACAGTCGACAATTCAAACATATGAAACCCAAAGTATTTGACCATCTTCTAGGAAAAATAAAGGATTGCACTATAACCTTGGGATGTGAGATTAAATCTTTGCCTCTCAACTATTTGGGACTGCCACTGATACCTATTGGGACTGCCACTGGGAGAAAATCCTAAAAAATTGACCACTCAGTCTTGTTCACAAGATGGCAAGATATTATAGCTGTGTATACATACATAAGTGTTGTGAGCCTTGTAGGAGAAAGAAATTCAAGAATTTTTGAAGACAGAAAATGGGTTTAGTCACTTTATTGATCTCACTATTGTAAGAATTGCTCATTCGGCCTTAGTGTGATTGAACTTAAGGGGTGAGTATCAATAACTGAGGGGATGACTAATAGTTGTTGGATACCAAAGCTAGAGACAGCAAAGGAATAATCAATGGAAAGCACCAGGAAGAGGAAGGCTTAAACCCTTTTTTTTGATAAATGGCTTAAACCCAATTTTGACAGATGTAGTCTTGACAATTCAGGAAGGTCAGGCATGGGTGGGGTAATCAGAGATCCTAAAGGCTCCACTCTTCTCAGTTTTCCCAGCCCAATAGGTATCAGCAACTCTATACAAGCAGAACTGTTGGCTTTGACCCAAGGACTGATAATGGCTGCTTCAAAAGGATGGTCTGAGAATAGAGTTYAGAGTGATTGTCAAACTATAATCTCATGGAGGAAGGTTAGTGCTTAGATTCATTGGGAAATCAGGTCTTTAATGAGGCAGACACTTAATATAGGCAGAAATTTGAATAGGTCATTCAAATGGGTCCTAGGGGTGCCAATGGTTTTGCAGCTGCATTCAGCAAAACTAGGTGATGTTAGGAAAAGGATGGAATGAGGTGAACCCAGGCCAGGATTTATTTTGTAATCAAAGTGTTACAGTTCTGAACCAAATGGGCTTGTACTTTATTGGCCTGCTACACTTTTTGAGTAATATGGAGATTGTTCAATGAAACTCCCATGGCTATTTATCTAAAAAAGGAAAACATTAGACCATCTTCTAGTTGCATTRCTTTAAATAGCTGGTGTGATGTTAGACTTCCTGCATGCATTCCTTGGGATTTTGGGGCCTAAGCATCCCAAACTTGAACTTTTAGCCTGTATACATAGGGGGGTTGGTTTTGTAACTTTGGTCACAATTTATTCTATTTAAGTGTTAGGGATCAAAGATCATTTGTATTCTTGYTGCTTCTTAAAGTGGAAATACCCTATCTAAATTCATATCCACAATAACTAGGGTCTCAGTATTCAAAAAGTTTTTGTTTTCTTTTTCTTTTAAAAGTTGATAAACCACTGCTAGTACCACCAATGGAAGAAACCTTAGAGATTAATAGACCATCATAAAGGTGTAAATCATATAAAAATGCATACAAAATAACCAAGAAACAATCTTACAAAGGAATGTGCCCAGGGCCAGGCCATACAAAATAACCAAGAAACAATCTTACAAAGGAATGTGCCCAGGGCCAGGCCATACAAAATAACCAAGAAACAATCTTACAAAGGAATGTGCCCAGGGCCAGGCCATCATAGCCCATACTCCTTTTGAAAGGGGCATCACCCTGGTTCAAGCAAGGAACATGCCTTAAAATGCACATCATCTGTATTTTAAGGCATGAGACTAGAACATTGATGAACTCAATCAATATGAGTAGATTGGCACTACGATCAATTGGCATGAATTGAACTTGAGAAAAAGGTAACATACAATAAACTCTAATCAAACTGCACCTAGTGGAAATGCAGTGAGAGGATAAAGAACTTTACAAGTTCTCATATTTTAGGAAAATTCTAACAATATTATACATATACGAGTAGGGATGGCAACAAGGTGGGTTTAGGGAGGGCTTTGTAAATTCTAGACCCTACCCCCCTCCTTAAGCCTCTCAACCTGTGCCTTTCCCAAAACCCTCCCCACATGTGAAAATGAAAAACCCTCCCCAACCCTACCCTCCTTGCATTTAAGGATAGAGAAGGTTGGGTTTAAAATTCACATATAATTTCCTATTATTTTATGTTATATATAAGCAATAAATAAGTAAAATAACATGATCAAACATCAAACTTTCCAATTATTTTATTAAGACATGTAAAAAACACATAACAAAATATCAATTATCATTTACATAAAAGCCAAAATATTAATAAATTCAACACACAATACATAAAGCTCATATTCTTCCAACAATATGCCAGTTGTGGAGGGTTGGGTTTTAGCCTAATACTGTATTCTACCCGTATCCATACTGGTTATAGAATCCCAAAACCCGTCCCTGTCCCAAAATTCTTCTTTCAAGCAATACAAAAAAACCACCCTATCATTATTAGGAGACAGATGATTGAAATTGCCATCCCTATATATGAGCTCTCCTATCCTTATGAACATAAAGCCTAGAAAATATTCCTCATATTTAAATCAGTAACATCACGTTATTAAAGGAATCCAGAAACAAAGTTCTTTTTGTTAAATGATCGGTTTAAAATTAAGACATAGTTCATGAGTACCATAATTCTCAAAGCACTACCAAAAAAGAAAACTCTGAAAAATAGCTTTTCCACCAAAAAATAAAAAAAAAACATGAACAGACAGTTAAGAATTGTGACAGTGAGTTTTACCCTTCATCAGCCCAAGGATCACATGCTTTAATGGCCTTTCGTGACTTTGACTTTTCACTTGGAAACTTGAAGGAAGAATGAGCTGGGCAAAACATCAGATAATTATCCTGTGACAATGCAACAATTCCCATATTATAAATATCTCAAACTCAAATTTCAGAGGCAAGAAAGATGAAACTACTCATGAGAAAAGAAAAAAGGTGGGAAAAAGAAGATAAAAAATAGAAAGTCCTATAGCCTCCAAAAGAAGTAGATAACTTACACCATCCCACCGGCAACCTGGAGTATTCACTGCACAAGGAACATGAAAAGTTTTTCTGCAGGATTTTGCATAACAACCAAGAGCTGCCCCTTTGAGACCACAAACACTGCACTTGAGCTTTGCACCTCTTGCTACTTCTGACTCTAGATTCCTAGCATTTTCATCCTCATAATACGCTTGTGGTGCCCTGTATACCGCAAACATCAAAATACAGATCCATCTCTTAGTGAAACAAAATGTCAATAAGCAAATATTAACAACTTATAGCAATAATGATAATAGTAAAAATGATAAAATTAACGGAAACAATGAATGCAATTATATCATATATATTTCTTACTCCATAACAAATTCTAATTTGAAGCATACCACTCAATGCATTTTCTGTGTGCATGAATGACGTTGGAATGCTTTGTGTCATCTGCTGCTACTGGCACACCATTGGCATAATGCAACATTGGCCCAACATACTGGAAGAACATATTGAAACCAAAGGAAAGTGAAGTAAGTTCAGGGAAAAAAATGGAATCATATTTTGGAATGGAACAAGCTGAGAAAAGAGTGTGATTACAAAGAAAACAAAACTGGTTCCAATAAAACAACACACACAAGTTTGAGTATTCATACAAGTATGATCTTATTTATGGAGGTTTAAGTTGAACAACAAACCCAAAGGAAAAACCAAAACATATTATTATACCTGCGAAGTTCTAGAAGACTGGCAAAATGCACAGACTGCAGATGAGCTTGCATCCAACCTCTCTGAAGCAGCAGGTGGTTGTGGACTGGAAACAGGTCCTTCATCTTTAACTTGAGATTTGGAATTAGAAATATTTTCAAATTTCAAACACTGTACAGCATCATCATGATGTCCGTAGTTCAACTTTTTTCTCTTTGACTCTCTGCCATAATCTTTAGCGTGATTAGGCAGTCCCATGTCTATTTCGGGTCTTGTAACATCTTCTCGCATTTTTTCAGTACCCTGAAGAGGTGGTGAATTCAAGCATAAGAAACAAAGAAAGTAACATAGAAGCAAACGTTTTCCAACAACCCAAAAGCTTCAATTGAATGAAAACTTACATGCTTGCTGAACTGTGCTGAACTGTCATCATCAGAATCCTTAGCATCGCCAAAGGATGGAAGGCTCTCAGGTGACGTCGGTGCAACCTGATTCAGATCCATTTCTTGGGTTTGTCCCTCTTCCCGCTGTCTGCCTCTGAACTGACAGAACCGTAACGATGCAGCAGTATCTTCGTGGGTCAATGATGCATCTTTCCTATTGAAGCTCCTAACCACACAATCGCGAGATTTTTCGGCTTTGATTTCTGAATGATGGGGAGACACATGAGTTCGTTTATTAGGAGATAATGAAGCTATAGACGATTGTCCATTGCTTCCCCTTCGGATTGTTTCAGCTGGTTCCTTCCTCAACTTGTCGCCCCTATCTGTTTTATCTGAAGCCGGGCATCCATCGGAAGGCTTCCGCACATCTACAGAGATTGAAATGTAAAAAACGATAAAGAAATGGACCTGGATGCAGGGTAGTTCTAATTTCTAAGCAACAGTTTCCAAATAAAAGTGAAAGCTTTAGTACCCGGCTGAACAACTTGAGAGGACCAATGGGAGAGACTAGCCCTAAACGCATCATCCATACTTCTATAGACGTTTACTATATTTTCCATGTGAGAAGCAGATCTTAAATCTGAAAAAAAAGAAATTCACTTGCTTCAGTAAGCAAATCTTAAAACAACATGTTTTCAAAACTTTGAGCTTAATCGAAATGCTCAGCAACTCTACCTTCATCAGCATATGGCGATTTACAGACGGGGCAGTGCAAACCAGCATCCGTGGATCTTGGAATGCAAGAGCTGCAAAAATATCAATCGATACGCAGATTAGAATATTGAAACCAAAGAAAAACGAAAATTAACACACATATCATAGATACCCAATTTTGGTTTACAAGGAGAYTTTTCGTATAGAAGAAATACCTGCAGAATATGTGATTGCAGGGCATCAATATCGGCCGGTTCAGCAAATTTAAGCTGCAAACACAAGCGAAACAAGAAATTAATATATCTAGATGTGTAAGAATATGAACTACTTATACCATAGTTACTCAAAAGAAGAATTGAAATCTTGAAATCATACCAGAGAGGGCATTTGAGCTCCAAACCCATCTTCTGGAAGTGAAGTACCCATGGATTGAAGAAACGACTGTAGTTCAGAGAGTCCGCCATGACTGGCTCAGTTGTCGCAGGGAGAGGAGATGGCGAGAAGAGCCAGAGACTGGGAGATAGAATACCAGAAGAAAGAGGCGGCGAGCTAGCGGCTATCGGTTGGTTCTGTAATTATTAATTAAAAAGGCTTCATCTACAAAGCAAGGTAAAGAGAGAGTGGCGCGTGGCGCGTCTCTTTTCGGATTTCCGCGGGAGAGATTTGCATTTCGATTTGTTGACTGATCTATCCTCGAAAACCAACGGTCATATTAACGGCTGAGATCTGCCCACGTTTCCACTCGATGAATGTTGCCCGCGCTAGTTTTGATTGTTTCCCTGTTTCGATATGACATTCGAATTCCGCGCGTTTTTCCCAACTCCCGCCTCGCCGCTTAAATCGGCTGGAGATTTTGCTAACGTGCGCGACATTACGGGGCATTTGCTATCGTGAACACTTGACCGTTTCCACTCTCCAATCCATGAGCTGGTTGACGCTGGATCGTAAATTCGTTATCGTATTTATCCCAAGCCCAGTCCAGCCCATGGACCAAGTAGCTATATAATATGTCTATATTCAACTTTCAAGCAAAGTCAGTCTAGTGACAAACCCATTTGATTGTGGGCCAAAGTCCACCAAATTGAAGATTCTTGGCCCAGCTCAAGTCCATCAAGCAAAGTCAGACTGTCAGAGTCAGTCAATCATGATTCGTGGGCCTCGTGGCTTTCAAATTCGCCACTAATTTAACAATTCCACGTGTCAAGAATTAAGATAAGCCCTATTCATACGAAGCGAAGCACAATCTTAGGAGGACATCTGTCACCTGCTCAATAGAAGTGTACGTAAGTGCAGCAAAGAGAAAAGTGGAGCAGTTCTTGACTCCTCCTCCTCCCTCCCTTCCTGCATTCTCTGCGCATGCTGTAACCTGAAAGCTGAATTCCAGGAGATTAGAAGATAGCAGCGAAATTCTTTCTTTCTTGTTCTTGGTTGATTCTCCGCCGACAATGGAAGAGAGCAGCAGCAAAGCAAGTGTCGTCAATCGACTCCTCGGCGTGAAACAGAGGTCTGGCAAAACGTTCGGTCAGATTGCACAGGAAACGGGTCTTACGAACGTCTACGTTGCTCAGCTCTTGAGAAGGCAGGCTCATCTCAAGCCTGAAACTGCCCTCAAATTGCGAGCATCCCTGCCCGAGCTAACCGATGACCTCGTGGATGAGATGATGAGACCTCCCATGAGGTCCTACGACCCTAATTTGATCCAAGAACCCACTATCTACAGGTGGGTTTTAAGTATTTCCTTCTTATGCTATATGTTGATGCTTCGTCCTTTATTGTTAATCCCCATCTGGGTAGTCTTTACATGCGTTTTCCGGTTTTCTTCTCTCAATACCAGACCATCCTTTTTGATTGGTTGAAGGGAAAATTTGAACTGCTTCTGTACTCATGCTTGAGCTTTCTGTTGATGCTTCCCTCAAGACTTCAATATTTTTTCTAATCATTTTATTGGCGTTGTAGATTGAATGAAGCTGTTATGCATTTCGGCGAGAGCATTAAGGAAATTATCAACGAGGAGTTTGGTGATGGCATGTAAGTTGCAAATTCTATGTTTGTTTCTATCTTTCTACCTAATTAAGACTCGGTTAATTGAATTCAATATAAAGAATCCACTCTCTGAAAAATTATGCGCCTGTGTCTTCTGATTCTTATATTGTCTCCTATTGCTCAAAGCTTCAAATTGCAGTGGAATGTAACATCAAAGGGAATGAATTCCGTGCTAGAAATCTGTTTTGTGTACACTGTTATTATCATTAAAAGCTTCCCTAGCATTATACCGTTCAGGCGTTCATGTCATGCATTCTGCCGTGTCTTTTGCTTGTTATGCATGTGGACTGGAATTTAACTGCGAATTTCACATAGACAAAAAAATAGCTATATATAACCATACCCAAGTCTTACTAGATCTTATTGCCTAGTGGAAACATTATCCTCTCATGGTTGCTGCTCTCTGTACAAAATATCTTGTTCAGTTAAGTGGGTTATTGACATGCAAAATTTTCTATAGAGTTAAGTGAGATAGCACAAATATACTTATTTCAGCAATGTGGTTATGCTGAAATCCCCCAAGAATCCCCCGTGGTTGCTGCCAGAAAGACATGATACTGGAAGGGCTTTGGCCAATAAAAATCCCCCAAGAATTTTGATAAATATCACCTGATTGGTTACGACTCTTATGATACCAGTTGATTGGTTGCAAGTTATTCTGGTATGCTGTCTTTCCGGTATTATGGTAGGTTAAATCCATCTTTTTTTCTGTAGCCGCTTCCTCTGAACACTTATTGTTTTCAAAAGAAAACATGTCTTTCATTCATTCCAAATAGAACAGCAAATGACGAATCGAATGACATTGGAAAGAATACACCCCACTCCACCCCCTTTTTGAAGACATGTCTTTGGCAGGTTTTTAATCAAATCTGAAATGCTGCCTGGCATGACCCAAGATAATCCAAAAGTCACAGCAGCATTAGAAAAGTCATGGACAACAGCAGCATTAGAAAAACCACAGATTTCTAAGATGATTAACATGTGACTTATAAACTTTAGTAGTAAACTCTAAGACAATTATGTGACTCATAGAGCATTCTATAAGTTTAATTGCAAAAGTGAGTTTTGCTACAACAACAGTGATAGAATTGTATTTATGAAGTCCAAAATCTCTTAACAGACCCAAATGCAGTTACATGAAATAGAGCCATATCCTTAAAGTTGAACAGCAGAGCTTACCTATGCTATAGAAATAATATACAATTGGTAAGTGTCTGTTTAATAAGAAGACCACATGATGTCCTTTTGGTATCTCATTGCTTTCAAATATGGAGGTCCTTGTTTCTATTTTTTTCCAGTGAAACATTTTGGATATTTCTCTATCATTACCATTAGAGAATATAAAGAATATAAAAGCCATTATCCCAATGCTGAACAGAGCAATCTGGAGTGGACAATACCATTAAAGAATATCATAAATTAAATTACAGACACCAAGCAGTTGAGAAGTCCAAAGGAGTAAGGAGGTAAATGGCATGGCATCAGTGAGTGCACTATACATAACTGACCTCAGTGATAAAAATTTCCAGATTAGAGAATGTTTGGTCCAGGGCACAAATTGGTTTCTAGTAGTATTTAATGTCTCTTAGCTGAGGAAATTGAAGATTGGTTGTTGTTCATCATTACACAATTATAAAGTAGGTGTTTGGTAACTTCAGAGTTATCTTGATATTATTACCAAAAAAAAAAAAAAGAATTATGTTGATATTGGAAGTTGTCTTTGGTATTCAAGTGTTTGAGACATCCTGCTAGTGGGATATGTTAGCTTCTTATAGGCTTTAAGGAGGTAAGAGAGTGAATGGTCTCATTGGTAAGTTTCCTTTGCAAGGGACAATCAGGGCTTTAGACAGGTTAAGTTCAGATGAAACTCTGTATCTGATCCAATCACTTGCATGCTTTGTTTCCTGTCATTTTCTTTCTCTGGATGTGCACTCTGGATTCTGATCTCCTACTGTTAGTCAACTGGTAATTGAAATCATGGTTAATTTTTCAGGTAAGCATATAACTTTATGCCTCTCAATTCTTTTCTGATTAATTCAAATCTTTCTTGTGAGTTAGTAAAATCTATATTCATTTGATCAATAAATTTGTTCTATCTTTGTTTAGAATGTCAGCTATAGATTTCTACTGTTCCGTTGACAAAGTTAAAGGTATGGATGGGAAGGATCGTGTAGTCGTGACATTTGACGGAAAGTATTTGCCTTACACTGAACAGGTCAGTGGTTGCCTTAATTACAATAAATGGAATAGTACTAATTTCTCTCTCTGTAAATGCATAATAGACATGATATTCCTCTGAATGCGGTGCCTTAAATTCTGGACAAGTTTGCCAAATTGATCTTGTTCTTTTTCTTCCCACCATTTTACTTAATTTTTTTTGAATCACTTTGTTTCAATTTTGCTTGCTGAAATAGAACTGTCGAATGAGAGAAGAAGAAGAAGAAGAAGAAGAAGAAGAAGAAGAAGATATGAGATGGGCGGCAGAATTAGTTCTCAGCCAGCCCTAATCTATTATATATAACAACATTACATAATGTTACATAAATAGACTAGAATGCCCCTGATTAGTGGAGGGACACCTAGTCAAATAAACACTAAATAAGATTAGGCCCAGTAACTAAGGCCCAATAACTAATGACTTAAGACCCAACAAGGATAAACATACAAATTAAGACATCCGAACCAACAAATTTTTTTGGATATCAATGTTATTTCTGTATTTTACTGAGTCCTAATAATTACGATGTTGTATTTAGTCAATTTAGAACTAAAATATGACTAAGCACATCAAACTTGATGGAACCATTTCTAAAGTCTGAAGTAGATTGAATAATCAAGCTGAATATTAGACCTCAAAAATGATTGTAAAATAAGACCAAGGAGCAGTACCCATTTCAATCCCTATAAAGAGATGATGTAGGGATTTCATTTGTTCAATTAGTACAATGTACAACACCAACATCTGCTCACTTGATTGCCTTTCGATTGAATTTTGTCATCAGTAGGTAAAACATGGTAGCTTCCAACAAACCATCACAACTAGCATGAGAAAGTTTAATAGCTTTATTGCTGATTGTGGGTTAAAGGAGATCCCGTTACTACAAGCTCGATTTACTTGGTCTAATTTACAGGAAATTCCCTTGTGGTTGAAATTGGATAGATTTATCTTTAATGTTGATTGGGAGAACTATTGGGGAAACTTGGTGTCTAGAGCTTTGCCTAGGGTAACTTTGGATCATTGTCCTATAAGAATAGGTGTGGAAGACTTTACCAGTGGACCTAGACCTTTTAGGTTTGAAAATATGTTGCTAACCCACCCGGACTTTGTGAATAAAGTAAAGCTTTGGTGGAATGAGGAATTGTGGGGGATAAAATGGGAAGGGGTAAGATTTTACAAGAAACTGCAGAGGTTAAGAGCCAAAATAAAAGATTGGAACAAGGAACACTTTGGAAGACTTGAGGGGCAAAAAGTGAATCTAATCTCCAGGATAGAAGAGTTGGATGAAAGAGAGGCCCAATTAGGGGTGAGCATTATTCGGTTAAAACCGAATAACCGAACCGAAAATTTTGGTTTCGGTTTTTTTCAGTTTTTGGTTAAATCGGTTCGGTTATTTCGGTTTTTGGTTACTTCGATTTTTGGTTTTGGTTTTTGGAATTAGAATTTCGGTTATCTGAATTAACCGAACTTTTATTATTATATATAATATATAATATGTAATATGTAATATATAATATATAATATATTATATATTTATATATTAATATATAATATACTGAAATTCGATTTCATAATATATATTTTATAATATTTAATATATAATATACATTATTATATATATAATAAAGTATATATTATTAAAATTCAGTTTTAACCAAAATAACCGGAATTTTCGGTTCGGTTATGTTAGAATACTCGAATCAGGGGTATTTTGGTCATTTTGGTTTATCTGTTTGAGAGTGAAAGGTGTATTTTATCTAAGTTTAAGTTGTGTCCCATCTCTCATGAGGGACAATATGGTTTTTCTTGTAATTCTATTATTTGGAATAAATACAAATGGGTCGGCTAGGGAGAGGTGACTTTTCCTTTTCTCTAGTCTGGCTGAACCCTTCTTCTTCTCTACTTCAACATGGTATCAGAGCTGTAAAGTCTTGTTTTCCTCTTTTTTTTTTTCTCATTCTTTCTTGCCACTGTCTTCTTTTTGGGTTCGCCGCCAACTATTACAGCCATCTTCATTCTTCAGCTGACCTGAGTGGAAGTTCGACAAGGGGCTGAAAAGGAGCTGTCGTTTTGTGGTCTTGGAGGTGAGAATGCCTCCGGTCGTTGAAGTGGTGTACTAAACACCCTCTATTCAGTGTACGAAGAGGGCTGTATGTGGACAGGTATGAACACTGCTGTCTTTTGCCCACGTAAGGGACTGTGAATGCTGTGTTTTGCTTCAAAATTTGTTTGGAGTGACTGATATGCGTATCAATCGTGTTCTTCTTCATTTTACCTCATATATTTGCTGAAAGAAAAGTTCTCGACTGCTAAAGTTCACGACAGCAGTGGTGTGGTAGTGGTTGTGTCGTGCTGATTGGTGTATCTATGATTCTGAATATTTAAAAGTGAACTCTTAGACCTTGTGTGTAAACAATTATGCAATGTGTAGAACAAGTGTTTGATGTAATGACTGAGTGACTTCGGCCCTTGTATTTTGGTGGGTGAATGATTCTGTAGTGTGCAGTACAGGTGTTTGATGTGATGACTGAGTGATTTCAGCCTTAGTATTTGATGTGCAATGTGCATTTGAAGAAGTTGGAGTTGGTGGTGTTGTAAGATAAGTCTTGTGAAAGTGTGTGAGGTTGTGTTGCATATTTGAAGGTGAAATAATTAAGATGACTTCGATTGGAGATGGGAATGACAATAAAATAGGTGTCATACTTTCTCCAGACTACCTAAGTGTTTAAATGACATGCATCAAGCTGAATGGTGAGAATTATGTACCA